CCCCTCCCCCTTTAGGACATGAGCACCGGAATCTTTTCAACGAAGCAATTTTTGGTACGATTAAGAGATGCTAAGAAATATTTTCAAAGAAATTCGCTTTCAATTTCAAAGAAAGAAAGACTTTTGAGGGCTACTTGTTGGCAAATGTTAGGTTTCCATCGGTTTGTAGTGGTAGTACTTCCTATTGAGAAGACCCATTCATTTATAGGTACTCTGTCCGCAGCGACAATACCTCATGTACCATCTACGCCGAGATCCATAGCCAGAGTCATTAGTGCAGACGTAACGCATCGCCAGGTTCACTTTTCCTCACTATCCCCTCTCTTTACTTCTTTCTCATCTGACAGATTGTATTTCAGATTGAAGTGAAAGATTTGATTGAATATGAATGGCCATTCAAATCTGGAGATAAGTATTTTCTGCAGGTGATTTTTGATTTTTAACATTTGATTGACACCAGCTTGAATTTAATCATGAATTTTTGATAACTCATGTTCAGGAGCAAGTAGGAGACTTACTGGATATAAAGTCTTTTTCACGAAAATTTCCGGATATGAGCCGTCGAAAAGTTGAAAAGGTGGAAAGAGATTGGCTCTGTGCTACATACAATATCCACCAAACTATGAATGAAACACGTGAGTTTTTACGGCTTCATAATTACCAAACAGTTCACCTTGTTCTGGCGATCACACCTCCTGGTCAGTTTTGGTTGATTTGCGTAGTGATCATTCGAAGCGTTTTCGAGACATTTGACCTTAACTGGGGCAGCCAAACAGACGTGATGTTTTGTGCTTGCTGGAAACGCTAAAGACGCATAGAAACCGCGTGTGGGCCCAGATTCAAGTTGTGATAGCAAGACAGAATCCTTTTACCTTAAGAACTACGAGATCTCTGTGCAATGCGATCGGTCGAAATCCATGATTTGATGGCTAGTGAATATCCAGCAATCTATCAGGTCAGGTGACAAATGTTTTCTGTAGGAGTTCTCGTAAATTCAATATGTGTGTGATCTTGTGTATGTCATAGGACTTTTTCAGGAGTTTCAAAAAGTCACAGCTGAACGTCTCAAGGCCCTAATGGCTGAACAAGCGAAGGAGATGGAAGCGGTTTGTTTTCCAATGATTGTATGATCATTACGGCATTGAGGTCGACCCTTTTGCCTTCCCCTCTTCTCCCTGGACCTTCTCCTAAACATTGAGGCTGGGAAGGGATATCATTTTGAAGCTTTGGGTCAATTTGGAAGCGTTACTCCGTCCAGTAACGTGATGTTTCGTCGTATGCATGACCTTTATTTTTAACAGAGTAGGTTTGTCCCTGATATGTGCATTTCAGATAAAAAACGATTCCAAGAAGCTGGCAGAGCTGCGTGAGAAAGCAATTAAGAGTGCTGCTGAGTTCAATAGGGAACTTCAGCTGGCGAAAAAGCTGGAACGGCAGCATTATTGGGACGTTCAAACTTCTGTAAGCGAGGCTTCACAATGTGTAGGCACAGTTTACGATCGCTTTCCTCTTTTAGATTATCCAGTCTGCTACGAATAAATGGAAAAAGGTTCCTGCAAAATATACCAAACCTGATCCATATCCAGTTGCTTTGATTCATGGACAGTTCCAGAATTATTACAGGAAGTGAGTGATCGAGCAATTTGTTATATTAATTCAAGCGAGGTTGAGTCGATTTCGATTTTCAATATGAATTTTTTATGATCTCTGCCTGTAATGTTTCCTTCTTCTTTTTCTCCGTAATGTTAATCCCGAGCAGTTGCGGGGTATTCATTTGTCGTTAGCCTTCGCCACTTCGTCCAACCAAGGCATTTTTGCCGCAGCCCTGACTTCAGTGAATCCTTCTCCATGATCCCTCTACTTTTTTTCGGTGCTCCCTGTGATCGCTTACCCTGCGCTCCGAAGTCGAGTGGGTTTCTCATGGAGTGATCAAGGCCCACTCCCATGCTATCGCAGCTGTTGCTATCCTGTCTCTAAAAGGCATAGGAGGTCATTCACCCCCGGTAGCCTTCGTGCACTGCCTACAGAACTCATTCGATTGTTCTGATTGTTATTTCTTTGTGACGTCCTTGTCATATGGATACTTTTAGACATGGATTTTATGGTCAGGGTTTTCATCATCCGGCCTACCACTTAGGTCTGT